GGGCCGGGAGGCCGGCAGCTCCCTCGCTCTCATCCTTCCGGCCCTTCTTCTTCTTCTTCCCGCTCTTTTTCTTGCTCTGCTTCTCCCCCACGCTCGCCAAGTCGCCCTTCTTGCCAGTCCACTTCTCTGCCAGGCAGCCTGGGGAGGAGAGGGGCAGAGGGGGCCCTGAGGGAGAAGCGGGGCTCCCCGTGCCCTGGCGGGGCTCCCCCGCCCTCCCTAGCACGCCTGCGCTGGCCCGGGCAGCAGCCAGGACTTACTTGTGTCCTTCCCTTTTAGCACGTGGTCGGCGCAGAGGAACTGGGAGAGATCCTCCGTCTGGTGGTGCCTGTACCAGTCCTCGATCACGTCTTCGTACTCCTCCACCAGCACGTCGCACTAATGCGGAGTGGAGAGCCGAGCTCCAGCCACGCGCCGCCAGGGCAGGACCAGGACCAGGGCAGCAGGGCCTGCCGACACCCCCGTTCCCGGCAGCGCGCCCCCAGACCCTCTCTCCCCCTGCGCTCCAGCCCACAGGCGGCCACCGAGGGCCAATCCCACCGGGCCGGGTACCTGCTTTTTGAGGTCAGCCACCTCAGCGGAGGTCTCGTTCCACAGCTCGTAGGGGATGTCCATCACTACCTTGACGCCCTTGTGCACCAGGTTGTGCAGGGTCTCGAATGTCTCCGACATGCCCTGGGGGAGCAAGCGCTGCCCGGTGAAGTGGTGTTCCTCCCGCCGGGCTCCTGCTCTCCCCTCCCAGCGCCGGCCGCACGACCCTGCCCAGGGACGCAGCTACGTGCAAGCCAGCCAAAATCGGGGTCCCCGCGGCATCAGCGTTACCAGGAGAGAGTTTAAGTGGCAGCGAGTTCCCCTCGGCAAACCTGCTCCCAGAAACAACAGGAAGACACGGGCCAGGCAAGACAGGCCCCGGCTCCCTCCGTGCAGGTGAGGGCCTGCCCACCCCCCGCAAGGACAGCACCCCACACCTGACTCGGGGGGCAGAGCGGCCTCGCATGCTGGGTGCTGGCAGGGGGTCCAAGAGGATGGAAGAACGAACCACAGTTCGGCGCCCCGGCAGGGCAGGGGCGGGCGAGGGACGCTTGGGAGCAGGGGACTGGAGGACAGCCCTCACCTTTGCGAATCTGTTACTGCCGCTCCTCTCCTTGTGCAGGTTGTAATCCAACAGCCGCTTGCAGATGTTCTCCGTCACCTCGATTAACCGGATGTCCCTGCACGGAGAGGAGGGAGGGCTCGGGCTCGGCACTGCCCCCCAAGAGCAGCCAGGGCACAGGGCGAGCCTCAGCCCAGCCAGTGCGATGGGGGAGCGCTCTGCGGCTCCCAGGCTCCCCCCCAAGCAGAAGGAGGACCCCCCGGCTGCCCTCCCCTGGCCCACCCCACACA